GTCGTTGGGATTTGGAGCTATAGAAATTAAATTTAATTGAATTGAGGAAGCCAGTGGAAAGGGATTAAGACAGACAACGGAGGGCAGGAAACTCACCACGTGAAGGATTTTGTTCTCGGTCTCGAACACCGTGCAGTCCTGAGGGGAGAAGAACAGGTTTAGTGCAGCGCCCGAGACCCCGACAGAAACACTCCCACACAGACAGACGCACACATTTCTATTCCCGCACGCATCAGTCGCACAAAAGACGGACTGAAAAGGACGCAAATAGCAAAGGCTGGAGTCTGGAGTCTGAGGCTGCTGCATCACACCCACACACACACACACACACACACACATAAACACACACACACACACACACACACACACACACATAAACACACACATAAACACACACACACACACACACATACGTGTTTTCATTATATATGAAGACGTATGACTTAAATAGGACATATGGGGACGTGCCTTTCCAAAGGTTCTACAGGTCTGAGTTTCCTATCCATGACTTCATGACAACATTCATCTATTGAGATTTTAGCTAGAGCAAACTTTTAATCATATTTGATTTTTATGCGACATATAGAGACATTATCTGGTTTCTATAACTTATGAGGACTATAACCTTTCACACAGTTATTTCATGTCTAGGTGAGGGGTCAGGCCCAGAAAAACACACAATCTTTTCCAATCTTTAAGGCCTTCTGTTGCTCAGATCTCTGAAACACGCAAATTCTCTTGTGCATCATCATATATGCACTCAAATCTATTATAAGACGCACACACACACACATACGTGTTTTGATTATATATAAAGACGTATGACTTAAATAGGACAAATGGGGACGTGCCTTTCCAAAGGTTCTACAGGTCTGAGAATCCCAGAGTTTCCTATCCATGCATTCAGGAAAACATTCATCTTTCATTCATCAGATTTTAGCTAGAGCAAACTTTTGATCACATCTGATTTCATCTGGATAATATAACTTAAGAGGACTATAATCTTTCACACAGTTATTTCATGAAACACACAATTTTTTCCAATTTTTTAAGCCTTAAGGTGCTCAGATCTCTGAAACACGCAAATTCTCTTGCGCATCATCATATATGCATTTAAATTTATTATTAGACGCACACATGCACATTCACACATACATGTTTTCATCATATATAAAGACGTATGACGGAAATAGGACATATGGGGACGTGCCTTTCCAAAGGTTCTACAGGTCTGAGTTTCCTATCCATGACTTCATGACAACATTCATCTATTGAGATTTTAGCTAGAGAAAACTTTTAATCACATTTGATTTTTATGCGACATATAGAGACATTATCTGGTTTCTATAACTTATGAGGACTATAACCTTTCACACAGTCATTTCATGTCTGGGTGAGGGGTCAGGCCCAGAGAAACACACAATCTTTTCCAATCTTTAAGGCCTTCTGTTGCTCAGATCTCTGAAACACGCAAATTCTCTTGTGCATCATCATATATGCATTTAAATCTATTATAAGACGCACACATGCACATACACACACACACACACATACGTGTTTATCATATATACAAGGACGTATGACTTAAATAGGACAAATGGGGACGTGTCTTTCCAAAGGTTCCACAGGTCTGAGAATCGCAGTTTCCTATCCATGAATTCAGGAAAATATTCATCTATTGAGATTTTAGCTATAGGAAATAGGGACATTATCTGGATAATATAACTTATGAGGACTATAACCTTTCACACAGTCATTTCATGTCTAGGTGAAGTGTTAGGCCCAGAGAATGAACACAATCTTTTCCAATCTTTTAGGCCTTCTGTTGCTCAGATCTCCATCTGTGAAGCAAAAAGTTGCTGAAACAAGTAGATGCTCTCGTGCATCATCATATTTGCATTAAATCTATTATAAGACACACACACACAAACACATATATACACGCGCAAGGCGGCCTTTGGGAGATGTGTAAATAAAATAAAATAATAGAATAAAAGCCGCTAGCCCTCCAAACGCACACACCTGCTGCACGATGGTGGTGAGCTCCAGGCAGAGCTGGATGACATTGTTCCGGGTTACAGAGTAGTCCGCCACGGCAGCAAAGGGAGACCTGCGAGCAGAAGATAAGACCGCCGTTAGCCCTGTGATGCTGCCGCTGAGTTCAGTTACAGTTTGGGCAGAAAAACATTGGAAATTTCCTTTTTTTTAGGTCTGAAATAATGGAAAAAGAGCCTAAAGCTAAAGATCTTTATATATATCATGTCCTAGTATCTGTTAAAAACCCATTCATCTTTATTGAAATTAATCCATTTTATGATGCTGCCATTTACGTGCTCAGTCAGGCGGGTTTGTTACAGTTTGGGCAGAAGAACATTGGAAAAGTCCTTTATTTTAGGTCTAAAATGATGGAAAAAAGAGCCTAAAGCTAAAGAACTTTATATAAAAATATTCATTTACATATATGTGTGTTATAAAGGGGTCATTTAGTAATTGTGATCATGTCTTAGAATCTGTTAAAAACCCATTCATCTTTATTGAAATGAATCCATTTTATGATGCTGTCGCTGCGTTCAGGTGCTTAGACAGGAGGGTTATTTATAGTTTGGGCAGAAAAACATTGGAGATGTCCTTTTTTTTTAGGTCTGAAATGATGGGGAAAAAACAGGCCTTAGATGTGACAGTGATGGCCAGAAGAGGAACAACAGAGCTTAAAAACAGACAAACCGTGAAACTAAGACCAAAATCCAGAATAAAGGAACAGAAAACCAACTTAAACATAGAAACCAGAAAAGGAGAATTAAAAAAACACGCCACAAAGCATAAAAAGCAGAAAGTTTCCTATTTCTAGGAAAAAGCAAGTCAGAAATAAAGAAAATCCCCTAAACTGCAAACACAATGTGAATCATTTGGATATATTAACAACCAAATCGCTTTTATGCAATAAATGTCTGCATGTAACCAGTTAACGGGTCATTTTTGGACATTTTAACACCTTATAGAGAGTAATGATGCTTTCAGTCCAGATTTTAGTGGTAAAAAAGCTCCACAGGTCTGGCTGCTCCCTTTAAACCTGCTAGTATTTGCCATAAATCTAATTTTTTTGCCAGTTTTGCCATCATTCCCTGCTAAAAAGCTGTTTCCCTGTTAGAGAACGGGCTTCAATGCTCTTTTTTAGCTGGGCTGCAAACCAGGTGATAACAAGGAGTGTCCGGCCGTTAGCATGTAGCCGTTAGCGTTTAGCCGTTAGCATGCAGCCGTTAGCATGTAGCTGTTAGCGTATAGCGGTTATCATGTAGCCGTTAGCATGTAGCCGCTAGCCCTCAGCCGTTAGCATGTAACTGTTAGCGTCCGGCTGTTAGCATGTAGCCGTTAGCGTGCGGCTGTTAGCATGCAGCCGTTAGTGTCTGTCTGTTAGCATGTAACCGTTAGCGTGTAGCCGTTAGCATGCAGCCGTTAGCGTCGGAAAACAGTCAGGAGAAACAGGCACATTTGCTTCATTGTTCCAAAGACCCAGATAGAAATCCGGCCA